TGGCACTAGGTTTGCAAATTGCTCCCAGCTGGTCCTGTTTTCTAATCAGATAAATTTAAACTTCCCAGACGGCCGAACCTCTTCTCTGAAGCAACATTTCATGCCCCACCAAGATGGGCAAAAAGAAATAGATTTGCCGATTTGTGTGTCGATGAATTGAACTCCTAATTGGAATGGGGCTCTTGTTTGTGTTTTTCCATTTTTTTCAACTGATCTGATTCAAGAAAGGGGTGAGCTATGACGACCTTTGGGAACCTTCGTTGACCTCACAAAAGCAGATTGATCGTGAATCGTGGGGGAAACGGATTCAAAGTGATTATATACATGTTCCACCATCCCCTGCAACTACCCTGCAGGGCCGGTCATTTTTGAGAGTTTGCGTTTCTTGAAGCCGCAGACGGACGCCGTTTGCGCATTGAAAGTCATGGACCCAAAGGTGCCAATCGAAGCTTGGTAATTATATATACAGTTATATAAACATTACACTATTATATATATTTACACAATGTGTACATACATATGTATATATATATATATATACACCTGTACTTATATTAATATGCATATAAAATCATATAAATATATACACATACTAGACATATCACTCTGGCGTTGGCACCCCTGAGACTCCTCATGACACTTAAAAGTATGCCAACAGCAACCCCCCCCTTAACTGACTCTCGATGATTCACCAAGTCAATCTAATTTGCATGCTCCGAGCCATGGTACATAGCCATTTGATTCCAGATGTCTGCAGCGTCAGGGCGGCTCCTGCCAGAGGGCTATCAATCATATTAGTGCTAGCTCACATAATGAAGTTCCTTTCCTCATTTTACCCCCTTTCGTGATCTGTCACTGCTGCAAACTTGGTTGGTCCTCAAATGCAGGAACCAGATACACTGTGAACCTTTGGGATTTTGCCGTTGGACGCCCTCCACGTCCCTGGAGATCCGCCCTCAACGCGGCAGCCCATGGAATCCCTTGTGACCGGGTCCGCGGTCCGCAGTGCGCCGTGCGAAAAAGAGGCCGATCCACAGGTTTGAAGATATGTCCAAGTGACGCCGCTAGAATGTGGATTCAACCGACGGTTGAATGATTCAGCAAGCAATTCACCCTACCAGAAGCATTACAATGTGTACATCTCTGTTCTGGGAGGCGTTATACATCAACGGCCCAAAAATGCATGTTCCTTTCGCTCCGATGTTGCCCTGGCCGGTTCCTTGTGATAGAGAATCCTCCACCATGTGACCAATGGACCGATGGACCAGCAGCGATCGCCCAATGTTGCCTGCCAGTAGCGATGGGCCAAGTGGAGTCACTGGATGGTTCACTCAGACATTGACTGCAGCATGGTGGCTCCATGTGCTTGCAGAAATGGTGCGAATGGCGATCGTTCCAAAAGCCCATTGCCACGGTGTCCTTCGGCTTGCCACAAGCGGCTTGAAAGAAACAATCGATGAATCATGAGCCTGTGTGGCAGACAGTCATCTCCAGGTCAGTCTGCTGAGAACTAGAGTATACTAGAGTCCTGCACTCCGAAGGACCCTGGGACGAGAATCCAGCAACACCTGTTGGTTCGCGTGATTAGAGAACCAAACACATGGTGTTTTCTCCTGTCATGATATGTGTTCAAGTAAGTATGCATGCCAGCATGCCAGCAATGGATGTTTTAACATGTGTGGCATCTGTGACTGTAACGACTGGGGGCGGGCCCACCCACATCACCCATCCCATCCCATGGTCGCGACCATCAGCGCAGGTGCTTCGGCGCTTGGAGCTCATTGGTCGGCATACGGAAGCCTATGGCCGGGACGAGCGTTTTAGCGTTTTTCCGCAGCGGGGGTGATTCAACGGTGCAGGTCTGGGTTGGGAGGATTCAAGCGTATTTGAGCTTCCACTATTTTAAAGGCTTTGGCCCAGTAAAGGCTTTGAGCGTCCAGGCACCGTGTCAGCAAATGGCACCAGATGTATAGTAGGTAGATGTAGGATGATGTAGGTAGGTTGTCCCTAGTTTGGCTTTGGAAGGGTCATAAGCAAGTTATTGACAGAGGCATCTCACATGATCTCGTGCAGGTTCCATAGGTTGGCCATCTTGGAGCCTTTTTCCTCGCACAGTAGCCACCGGTGTCAATGGTTCCGCGGTCCAAGAAAGAGCCGGGAGAGGAGTTAGTGGAACAGCGTGGAACACCATGACAGGACACAGAGGCTGTGAGACTGCTGACAGGCGACAGGTGAGGCAATTATATATTCTATTCTATTTATATCTTGGTTTGGCTTAGGGCTTAGGATGGTTTGCATTTGTTCCTATAAAGGTGAATCCCCTTCGGGTGTGTTTTAAAGATTGCTCCTGGAAATCGATGTGATTCCAGTGAAGTTGCCGTGCGTTTGGTGCTTCGCTGTTCGCTGTGTTTGCAATGGCTTCCAACCAATGGCTCACCGCTCCTCCTCGGAGGAAACGGTCCGATCTCACAAAATCGCGATCTCGGTTTTGGGCATCCTCCGGATCAACGGATCCGGATGCGCTGATCCGGTAGGCTTTGATCATTTGCAGAATCTTCATCTCCTTTGGTCTGTCTGGAGCTCCCAGCACTAGAACTGACAGAAAGCCTTTCTTGAAAAATCATGGTATGTAGTCTGGCCTTCAGGCTAGCGTTCATGGCCCCAGTCACACAATGTTCCTTGGGATCCTTTGTGTCTAAGAGGCGCTAAGAGGCAGCGTGTTTCATGGTTTTTCCATTTTGGTCAAAGCATCGAACAGGTTTATATATTTGCAATAGATTTTGAGCACCACTTCAGTAGTTTCGGACTGTTAGTTTGGGTAAATTCCTTCCATGATTGCAGCAGCCATGAACGTCCATGAAGCATGTCTCCTTCCTCCGGCGGTTTTCGGTCGCAGTGAGGCCTTGGAAGAAGTCCGCGTGAGTGTCCTGGCCAGGCGTGGTGAGATCGGACGGCCTAGCCCAGTAATGGGCCCGAGTCTCTCGACATCCCAAGCTGTCAGGGTCCCAATGGATTATATAATCATTTATATACATGTTTAGATTTAATCATTTGGGGTGTGTTTCATTCCATGCCATCAAGTGATCTCCATAACTCAGCTCAGTCAATCACCAAACGTCCGGTCGACCGTTGTTGTTGTTTTTTTTCGGACCGACGGACCGGACCTCTGCCACCGCTGACCTCTTCAGCGAGCCAACATGGGAGACCTGACCGATGATGGACCGGTCAGGTCTCACATAGTCGGTCAGGTCTCCGATGGGTTCGGTCGCTTGGTCGCTGCGTCGCGTGGGAACCAGCAGCAGGACCGCCTTGGAGTTGAAACCAGAGGCGCCGATCGAGGATGTCGACTTTCTTCTGCTGACCTTCGAGGAATGGAAAGACGGTTTTGGTGTGTTTAAGGATGTTTTTTCAGAAGTGGGGCTCCGGCGTACCGCTTTTCAACTTCCATTCTCCTACGTTCCAAATCAGTCGGCCATGCCAAAGTCCCGACACAAAGAACCACACATATCCATCTATAGCCATTCAGCAACTCCGACTCCTTGATGTACCCCAAAATGTCAATTATACAATACTCTTCGCGGTCTTTTGGGCATTCCATTTGGATTCTTGTGGAACATTCAAACATTGAAGCCCTCCAATAACCAAGTGACCACACGGACACAAGTTCACAACGGCTTCGCTCCGAGTAGCATAGTGTCGTGGGGGTTCATTTGTTGCACACTTGCATAGCAGGATTGTTATATAATGTTAATGGAACTTCTGGTCCTCTTGTAAAAATCCTGCACCGTTTGGGATACAAGCGTGCAGATGCTTCACCATTGCAAACACCACAGGAATCCACACGACATATATATATATATATGCGACATCATATAACACATGTACTGTTGATATATACATATAACGACATGTATGCAACATGATGTAGCACATGTACTGTATACTGTATACATAAAATATATATAAGACATGTTCTTAAGAGTTCTGGTGGTGTTTGAGCCCCTTGCCACCAAAAGAACCAGGCAGTCCCAGGCTCCGGGAATCTTTCAGAGAGCGCAGACGGTCGGCTAGGACTCCAGACATGGAAGTGAAGGGATAGGAACATGATGTCTGAAGGCTAATGTTTAACTTTGTTAGTCACAAGAAAAAGTGATCCACTCTAAACTTATTATATAAACTCTATAAACATTTTTATATATATATTACATTCTATAGACGCTTAGAACATCCCAACATGCTGTTGCCCATTTCTTCGCACCCCTTTCTTTCGCCGAACAAGACTCCGGAGGTCCTCGAGCCGATGACCGGACCGGTGCCGGGCTGTGCCGGAGAGAGGTCGGATGGTTGGGGAAGTGTCACTGCCCAAGAAGTGGATGGCCCACCCTGCTTTGTAAAGGAGAACCGTCCTAAAAACAGGGTCCAACTTCCATGTCAGTGAGTGGAAGGGTATAAGGTGTTTGAGGTGTTTCGATGTTTGTGAGGTATGTTGACTAAGCGAAGGGGTGTGGGCATAAGTTATAGACCTATTTGCATGCTGTGTTGACTGTGTTGACCCAAGTTGACCTGTGTTGAAAGGAATCAGTCAGTATGTATTATGCATAAGTGATTGCAAGTCATAAGTTATAAGTGCTTGTGGTTTCCAAACAGGCGTCACTCAGGTTCTAGGGAAGTAGGGAATTCATAACTGAACCTTGCGCGCACTTTGCTTGCTTCGCTGCAAGTTTTGAACTGGACCACTGTGCACAGCCAAGCATTAGCTTACAATTATTCAGAGATATTCAGAGGAGTTTCAGAGCTGCTCCCAAGTTTCCCTCAAGCATTGCACCATAGGGATGAAAGCCATTGCCTGTAATTAAAGGCTTTGCATGGCAATGCGCGCTGCTTCAGCGCCATTGCCAACGCAGAAGTCTGCGTGACTCGTGGCTTGCCTGTGGTGCTTGCCACTGACTCGAGAGTGGACCCTCCCGTGGGAAAAAAACAACCAACCCCCCTCGACGGCCATGGAAGCGGAGCCAGCGGAGCCGCGCTGGACCATCCACGTTGCGCTGCCCAGCGGTCGCTCGGCGCCGGTGCCAGCGGCACCCAGCTGGAGCTCCTTGGGTGAAGGAGGAGGAGAGGTTTGGATGGATTTGAAGAGTCGGAGTGCGAAAAAAACTGGGTTTTGCGAAGAGTATGCAGCTGATATGTATATAACACAACACATTTTGATAGAGCTGTTGTACTAAGTGCTTCGCACAGATGTGTGGTTAGTTTGAAAATCCCATCTACTGTATAATAGTGGATGTTGGGGGACACATGTGCGCAAAGCAATGGAGGCAACAGATTCACCAGGAACATGCACAGGACCATAAAACACCACAATTAAAAAACAAAAAAACAAGAATGGAAACACATCCAACACGCTTGAAAAGCGGTGGTGCCTTGTTGGTTGCATCCGTTTATCAAGGCTACTGGTTTGATTGGTTGATTCATAGTTCGCGCACGCATGATTGCTTTTTTTCCAGTATTTAGCGGGTCCTTGTTCATTTTTGGTATGCAACCACACGCAAGCAAACCAGGCAACATCAGTTCAACATGTCCTGTAGAACGCTTGCCCCAGCCAAAGGAACAAGAGAGTACACTTGGAATTTGGATAGCGGCTGTCAATGACCAAGCGAAGCAAAATACGGCTTCAGCGGCATTTAATATTTTATAAGAGCCACCAAGACCTCTTTGTGCACTTGGACCTCATAGAGTGCAGGGATGTTTAGGGCATTCAGTGGGCTCGAAAACAACGGTCTATGGTCTCCAAATGTTTGCATTTTCCAAATGTGTGCATTTCTTCGAGTTCTTCTTGGCATCCCCTGACTTGTTTTGTTGAAGAGGTCTCTCATGCAGGCCCCGCATGTCGGTTTGTTGAATGCTGGTCCTCAGCAACAAATTCGACTTAGTTACGATTACACCCGAGAAGGGACCCACATGGAACCTGATGGCCCAGGAACTTTGGGAGACTAACTGTCCTCTACAACCCCAGTGGTTTAACCAGGTTCCATGTTAATGTTCCCAGGGAGTGTATCTAATTGTCCACCACTGAACAGCCTTCACATGTTTGACTGAACAAAGTCATTCCGAAATAGATGACCGTGGCAAGGTTTGAAACATAGATCTTCTACGTGGGGATCTACTTAACTTCGATCTATTTGGGGATCACATTGGATCCATCCCAAACCAAAAAACAGCAGATACTGGATATCCAACTCCTTAGGATGCCCTCAAGAAGGTGGTAATTGCACCCGATCTATCGATCGTTTGCCGGGTCAGGCCTCGCGCAACTCCGAATCGAGTCCAAGCAGCTGCTGGGCGTGCCGCATGGCCTTCGACTGGTGGAAAGTGTCCTGGATAAAATCTACACGACGATTCCCATCATCGGAGGTGGTAGATGAGGTCCTCATGATCTTAGCCGTGATTTTGGGTGGATTTGGAGGTTTGAACATGGAGGAGGATGGAGGCTGGAGCCATGGAGGATGGACTCCGGAATTTCACTCCCTGGAACTCCTTCACTCCGAAACCGGGTACCAGACACATGGCGCCATACACCTGGCGCCATATCGGAACAGGGTCATCCTTGTCTTCAGGGCCCATGGCCATCAAGCAACACGACGTCCCATCGACGTTTCCGTCCGGGTCGCTGAGCGAACGCCGTACCGACCGCGGAGGGGTGAGAGTGATATGGCGCCCACATGATGACAGGGAGAGCTGATATGACATACACTCCCTGGAACTAACATGGAAGTGGAGAATGACCCTGAAAGACCATGCAATCCACAGACCAAACAAGGTGGTTTTCCACTTCCATGTTAGTTCTAGGGAGACTACGTCATGTCCTTCGCCACAGGAAATCCGAACGGGGGCCCTGTGGGATTTTTGGCGCCCGGAATGCGGGAAATGGGGACCTAAGCAACATAAGCAAACCAAGAAGGCAATGTCCCAAAAAATCAAAAGCAACTGCTTGATTAAGTTAAACTTGATTCAGCAAATTCACAATTGAATTCCAGGATGGATCTGTGGAAGGCCAAGAACTGCCAGGTTGTCGCACATGCTGGTGGACGCACTGCTGCTCATGGAACTGAAGTGGGGCAACCTCTGTTGAGCACTCTGACTCTCACCTTCTACTATCGGAGTGCATGCAAGCCGCCCACGGATCAAAATAAAGACCCGGACTTGTAATTAACACTACCCTTGGCATTCGTTGCATTTTTAGTACCAAACCGCGCCAAACACTCAACCTATCCTGTGTTTGCAACGCATTGTGCAAAATGTCTTGAGTCTCTAGCCATGCTCCGGCGGACCACTTCAGCTCTCCAATATTACTCTCCCTGGAACTAAGATGGAAGTGGAAAACCACCTTGTTTGTAGTGGATTGCATGGTCTTCCTTTCAGGGTCATTCTCCACTTCCATGTTAGTTCCAGGGAGTGTACCGGTAAGATAGGATGACACGTCCAGCGATTGCGCCACCCCGCGTCTATCATCGCGACACCGCGGCCGCAGCTCCTGACGAGACGCGCAGCCTCCAAGACGCGCAGCTCTGGGACGGAGCAGTGGTCCAGGCGGTGGTCGAAGCCGTGAGGCTGAGCGCCACTGAAGGCGAGTGGGAGGTGAATGGAGGAGGTGAGATGGGATAAGCAAACGCCAGGTGGGTTGGATGCAAGATGCAAGATATGTTTTGAAGCATCAGTTAGTTCAACAATATATTATATATTATATAGTTATTGGTAAAGATGTTTTCTTTTTCAATACTTTTTAAACTTTGGAACAGAGCAAGCATTTCTTCAGCATGCTCTAGCTATTGTGAGATTGATCAGAATTGCTCAAGCCCTTTCTGCGGGGAACTTGTGGGTAGTGGGTAACTGGGACTTGTGCGGCACCTTTCTGCGTTCCGTGGTGGCTTAACACATGCGCTGGATTGCGCAGGTATATTCAGTAATTTAGTTCAACTCTATAGTGTTGGATGACTGCATTACCTTCATGTGCTTTAAGTGATTCCGAACACACTCATCCCCGATGACCCTGCCGGTGGCCAAGGCGCCTTTGCTATGTGGTACCGCGGTGGTGGGGTGGTCACTTGGGGAATGCCTGGAGCTGGAGGAGACTCCACCCAAGTGCAAGACTCAGGGCTCAACAGACATCCTCCTGTTTGGAGACCGTCCTGTTTGGAGACCGTCCTGACGGCCGGAGGATATATTCGGTGCTCCCACCTCAAGTTTGATCTTGCCAAGTTGCTGAATGAATGAAATAAATTGAAATCCCCCATGCCCCGTGAGCCTGCACCCCCGCAGACTAACACGGACCCTGACAATGCACCCATGGAAGAACATTTTCCACTACAACCACATCCGGCCCATCCGGCATGCAACCCTTTTGGGGGTATATATAACATTGTATAACAGTATAACTGGATTGAGAAGTTCAGTCAGCGCTGGGGTGGAGATGTTCAACAGCAGATAATGTGTGTGTGTTTTTTTTGGCCACTGAGTGTGTACCAGTATGTATTGAATTGCTATGTGGCTTTGTTAGGCTCTGTTGAGTTAATGCCCCACGGTTTCATGTCGGTTGTTGTTCACATCCTTTTTCATTTCAGTTTTGCCAGAAGCTGCCCTCCTCCAGTCCAGTATCAGTTGACACTTTCTATTTGATTTGGTCATTTACATCGTCCGACCTTCTTATTTGACCATTTTCCTTTGTATAAATGGTCTGTTTCCCAATGACCGGTAGATACCAGTACACTGAAAACTAACATAGACCCTGAAAACCACTGGTTTGTAGAGGAAACAGTCGGAGTGAGGGTGCCGTTCGATCTGGGCATGTGACTCGGGAGTGTAGTCTAGTTGACACAGCTGAGCGGCTCAGGATCAGCTGTCCAATGTTCAGCACGTCCTTCCTTTCCGCCGTGCTTTTGCCGCCTGCTTGACCGACGGATCGTCCGTGGCCTGGGGCCATGCCGGAGCTGAGAGCTGTCCAGATACTTGGCCCAGAGCTTGGCACCTGTTGAGCACAGTGAATGCGTTTTGAGGTATGTTTGCATCGGGCAGTCACGTTTTTCTTGTTTTTGCGCTCGGCTTTCGGTTTTGCTTGCTCATGTGGCAACTCTGTTTCTCCAGGGTGAATATTAACATATATTAACGAAACAAGCCCGGCCCTCATTTCAAGGTGACAGCCCGCTGCACTCCCACACATAAATATAGTCGTCAGGTTCTGTTGGCATATGTTGGCATGCATGTCCGGGACGGCGCTATTCCAATCTTTGCAGGATCGAGAGGTGCTGAGCAACTTGAGAGAGATCCATGCCACCGACGAATCCTTTGCGGCAATCTCGGGAGAAGGCTTTTTGGTTGATCGGCTGAAGCTGAAGATCCTTCCTAGAGGGATCCAAATACTTTCTCAGATGGCATTTGGACCCTCAAAGCCTACATAAATGTGTTTCCAATCACCTTCTCAGAGGGTATGTGGATCCATAGCACTGCAACGCAGGCGACATGTCAAACCCTGCCACGTAGGCAATGACGGTGTGGTTGGTTGCACGCAGCACAGGACCTTTAATGATGGAAGGTCGCGGCATGTCGCGGCTGTAGGAGACAGGCTTTGGAATGTCAACTGAGGAATGCTCAATGTTTCACTTCCATGATATTTCAAGCAGCAACCAATGGAGCAGCATCCTTTTCACCGCTCAAGCTCGGAACAGAGCACTTGCCATTCTTGGGCGCACATGCCACTGGCGGGGGAGTGACATTCACTGACATTCACCGAAGATGCTGTAGCTTCTCACCAGCTTTCGAGCGCCTTCGACACCTTTCACCCATCTCATTGCAATAACCAGGGGAGTAGGGATCAATCAAGGAAGCCTATAAGCCGCTAACCAGCCTATAAGCGCCTACCCGGCCTTTATCCTCGACCCACTTCAGGTGACCTGGGGCCATCCCCGCCGGGGCGGCACAGCACCCAGACTGGAGGGCCCCAGCATCCGGCAGCTAGTGGCAGCCGAGAGCGCCTTTGCAGCGGTCTTGGACGATGGAGCAGTGGTGGCCTGGGGGGCAGAAGAAGCTGGCGGTGATAGCAGCGAGGTTCAAGAGCAACTGAAAAATGTGCAAGAGCTACTTGCTGACAAGCAGTACTGCCCGGACATATTTTGGGGGAGTAGTTGGCAAGCTTGCATGTGGAATTTCTGAATTTCTGTGAAAGAACAGTTGGTGACTTGGTGACCTGGTTTGGGAGATACGCCAAGGCTGGAGGCTTCTTCGAATTCGACGTCATTTGCTGCCCTTTTGACCAATGGACGTGTGACCACCTGGGGCGATGCCTCCTTTGGTGGCGACAGCAGCTCTGTTCAAGACCAGCTGAAGAACGTCAAGAGCATAAAAGCTTCAGCGATGGCGTTTGCAGCCCTTTTGGCCAATGGGCAGGTGGTGACCTGGGGGGATCCTAGCACAGGTGGCGACAGCAGTCGTGTCCAGCACGAACTGAAAGAGGTGCAGAAACTGGAAGCAACCAGTTCCGCTTTTGCGGCCATTTTGTCCACGGGGCGTGTGGCTGAGCTGAAGAGCAGCATGCAACATGTAGGTCATATGTCAGTGTGTTCAATGACTCCGTCGATGATTTTTTTTTCTGCTTTGCGTTTTTGGTGGTAGAATTCTGAGCACGAACTGACTGCGACCATTTTTGTAGTGCCATGTTGTGCTTTTTGATCTTTCTGCATTCTACAGATTTGCTATCACTCCTTCGTGAAGATCGACAAACACCATCAAACACTACCATGAGATTCTGTGGAATTTGGGCACCAACATGTCAAACAAATCCACCGCAGGTAGTGGCCTGGGTAGTCTTCCAAGGTTTTTCTCACCGAGGTAGTGACCTGGGGCTTATCCACCGCAGGAGGCGCGGGACCAGCCGTTCGACGGATACGGATGTAAAAGTGGATGTAGAGCCATGTGAGGCAGTGTGTGGGGCCATGGGGGGCCCCCCTCTAGGTGCAGTATGAACTGACAGGGTTTTGGGATGTTTTGGGAAAATATAAAGCTTGGGTTCAGATGAAAAGCCCTGGTTCTCAGGCGACAGCAGCTCCGTCCAAGCGCGGTTGCTGGACATCACGGAGGTGCGGGCCACTGGCAGCGCCTTCGCCGCGGTGACGACGACCGGTCAGGTGGTCACCTGGGGCAATGCGGCATTTGGAGGTGACAGTGGGCAGCTTCAGGACCTGGAGGTGGTACAGAGCCTCGGTGTTGGGGATCACTGGCTGGATTCGGGACTGGAAGCAACATGTGGTCTCCTGGGCCCGGGTGATTGCATAAGGATGAACTCCACCATTTGAGAGGTATGTGCGCAAGGAATAATAATACTGTAATGTATTAACAATATATATGATATGTATGTAATATTGGCATACTAAGTTACTATGAATATAAGTTCCGTTCGGTTCGGTTCCAGCACCCTGTGCACTCGCTCGGGAGTGCTGCGGCGCAGTCTTCCTTAGTCTACCTGCAGTGGGCACGGCAGGGACGGTCAGAACTTGGACACATGAGAAACGTGCATAATCTCCACGTCGTCGCTGTCACTGCTGGCAACAAGGATAGCAGTGTTTTGTCATTGCCTTCCTAACTTTTTTTCTGAAGCTTCTCTCACCAGCTTCCAGTGAAGATTTGATCTGAGAAACCCGTAGCAATCGCAACAGTTATGCTGGATTCTTTTGATATTTATTGTTCACTGGAAGGAAAGCACGTCATGCTTGCTTTTTCGCACACAGGAGCCTCCCCTTTATGAATGGTGAGTAGCCTCAACAATACAATCCAAGAAATGTCAACCGGAGAACCGGATGTTTTCATGAACTCCAGTGGCTTACATTTTCAGAATATCAGCTTTGCTTTGAGGCTTGAAGCCTCCAATGGTGCCTTTGCTGCCTTATGCTCCGATGGCCGCTTAGTGACCTGGGGTCACCCTGACTTCGGTGGAGAACAGAGGGTGCCTTGTCTCACATTGACCCAAGGCTTGGAAAGACTGCCGCCCTATTTCTATCCATATAGACAGAGAGGAGGCCGAGTGGGAGATGGTGAAGGTGTCTCCTGTGGCCTTCAAGCCTTCAGCTTGACATGTGCAAGTGATGCATGACACTGTTTTTCAAGCATTTTCCAGGAGATGGGCGTTTGCTCGTTTATGCCAGTCGACCTCCCAAACATCTCCGGACTGTTGTCAAGAGGTCAAGAGATCAATCTTCACCCGCAGCGGTCAAAGATCATCAATCGACCCTGAGGTTTGTATTTTTCACTGCTTGTACATAGTCATGTCTACTGTACGCGTTATGTTTGGCTCAAGAAAAAGGTGTACTTTGTTGGCTGTTTCCTATTTGAAATAGGTTATCAGCCGTAGGTCTCACCAAGTCTTCTCGCTCGTACCACGTGCCCTTAGCCATGGCAGGTTATCCGTCGATCATTGATTTGGCGACGGATTTGGACGATATGTCCGCACGTGATGCAACGCCTGAG